CAGCAGACGAGTACATACTGTAGGTTACCTTGTCTCTCAGGTGGATTCCATGTTTAGAGAGTTCAGGACCTGCCTCAGACCTTGATTAATGACTATCGCGTCCATTTCTGAAAAACGCTTGGCTGTTTGTTTTGGAGGCGATGGGAGACAGCTCACGTACCCGGCCTAATATGGTTCCCACGATGCAGTGTGGATGAGTTCTGGAGACACTCAGCTCCTGCTTGAGTCCAATACCTACAGTGATATGAAAAGCAGCGTGTCTACATTAATCATGAGTGTCCAGGCTGTTCACAAGAAATTTCCTGATCCCACTCCAGGGATTTTTCTGGGGAGAAAAATGGGGTGTCTGCATCCTGAGATTTTATCTATTTTTGATTATTGATTAATAAACTTTTAACCTAATGAAATGCTTGTTAAGCTGTTTGTTATATTAGTTGAAACGTCTCTGGGGGGTTCTCATATTGATTTTAGATGAGTGCAGAGTCACAGGCCAGTGTGACTCACTCTTCATTACACTGTTATTCGCTTCCTCCGCTGTCTTCATTGTGATTTGTGTTTGTGGACTGTAAACAGACAGTAAATACATGTCTGAAAAAGAAAAATATGTTTGCCATATTTTCAATAAGGTGTTTTTCAGTACAAATGTTTGCTTGCAAAACTACTCCCTCAGACGTTGTTGACTTTCACTCAGCATTTATAAAGTATTTCTCTACATGTGCATCACTGATAACAATTCCAGTTTCTATATGTGAAAAATACACCAGCCTCAGCCTGTGAGCTTTGGTCAACATAACACTCTTTTGAAATTCGAGGACTTAAGAATTCCTGTGTACAACGTTTTTATTTGTATTTATCTAACGTACTGTCCTATTGTGTCAAATGATTAGAAAACTGAGTGTCAAGGCAGCAGAGAAGCTTCTTTTCTGCAAGAACAATGAGAGAAAACTACAGTGGTATATACAGTGTTTATACATAATGTATATAATAACGCATATTTGAAGACAGCACTTCTTCCTCATCATTTATCATGTTTTGATTTATAGAATATAAATCCCAAACCAGCAGAGCCTGAGTGAATATTTTCTCAGAGTAATTAAAATAAGTACACACAGAAATATTCTGCATAGAGAACAGTGATGTGCTGAATTTAACAAGCACAGTAATAAGAATACTATTCAAGAAAACCCAATTAACCATTTACACACAAATACAAGCACAATCTATATATGTGTAGTCTGATTTGCTTTTACTCTAATGAATAATATACAGCATGAAACGGCCTTTTCATAATCAGGTAAATCAGACATTCATCTACTTCTCCATCCTGTCCATTCCAAAAAATGATGAGGACCATTAGTATACATGTAATTATGGCTAACCACAGTATTATCCCGGTGATAGAATTTATATGAGCTGTGCTGACAATAAATGCCAAAATACTTAACAGCATCTCTCCCAACAATAGAGGGAATTTGCACTTTACTGAATGCAACTAAAGTTAAATGTTAAGTTTCACTTATTATCAAGTGAACAAACTTCATTACTGGAATAAATCAAACCACAGTTGCCTTAAAACAAGCATATTTTTGTGAGGGGAAAAAGGAGAAAATGTCCAGCAGCAATATGTTAATCAGCAATGAGAGACCTTTTAGCTGGTATGGTTGGCAACATGCATGATGGGTAATTAACTGTTTGCAAACATAGAGGATGTGCACTGTGCGCTGCTGCTACCTTCCCTGCTCGAGATGAAACAATGAGGGTGTTCACAGAAAAGAAGGTGATTTCTCAAAGTAGTTTGGTGCTCTGTGTGAGGGATTTTTAAAATCAGTTTCTTTGAGTACTTGTGTAGAATTTACCACACATTCCTACTGTAGGAGCCAAAACAGAGCAAAAGCTGTTTAATCAAAATTACAAAGCAGTTAGTGAAGGTTGGACTTAAATAAAACATAATTTTACGACAAATTAATATTTAATAAAATATGGAATAAAAGCTTCCCCATATAGAGCATGTATAAACCCTGTAGTCCAGACTACATATATGTTAATTTAATTATACAGCTTATATTTATTTAATTTTTTTTCACTTTTAAACCACAAGATCTACAAACATAAACATATGTGTGTGCGGTGGGATTAAGAGGACTTAAGAGATTCTTGATATTAAACACTCACCCCTCTTTGTAAAAGCTCCATTCAGTCTGCTTATTCAAACAGTGCTTGCTGACTATGGATCGATTTAATTATTCAACATTAAAAGACATCATGTCCCTAGAATCATCTGAAACTGAAACAATGATTACAGCTGAAATGAAATGAAGGATAAAAACTGAAAATATCTGGCTAACTGTAGGGGTGGTGCAATCTCAAAAATGTAAAAAAACAAAAACAAACAAGCTATATACAAGCAAAAACAACAGGTAAATCATGTATACCTATCGTATATATTGTTATATATATTTCAAATGTTTTTTATCATCATTATGATTTTCTGTTTATGTCCCATATAAGTAGCATGAAAGCAAACATACATTTGGATACAAAAGGCAAAAATATGTTAAGCACTTACAATTAGTTTCAAAGCTCACAGAGTACAAGAATCCCAGTAGTCAGCAACTACCACTTGTTTTATTTAAGTGTTTTGCATTTTATAGCTTAAAATTGTATAGGACACAGAGACATATATTTATAATTAAATCTGCCACAGTTTGAATATTGATGCCTTCTAATGATGAACAATTCAAACTTGCCCAGGTCAGAATCAGTGTATGGCTTCATCATCAGAGCTTATAAAGAAAGCTAATCAGACACTGGTGATACCTCTGACTTCCTCCACACTCAAGAGACATGCAAGTGCATGGGTGAGACAATCCACATTGTGCACGTGGAGCAGACGTGAGCGTGCAAAAACCCATAACAATATAAATAACAGCAACAGAAAGCCGCGCTTGCTCCTACTCCATCATTCAGAGCAGCGGCGGCAATGCAGCCTATCATCATCTTATTAAAGGGTCCTGTAGATTAGAATCACCAGGGCGGCATCAGAGGCAGGTGTCCCCCACGGCAGGCATGATAACACGCTGCCAGCCCCCAGTAAACTCTCAGGTACCTGCTGTGGCAATCCGGGGAGAGGCCAGCTTGGAGCTCCTCTGCTTTGGTCTGGTCTGTGTGGGCTCAGTTTTGGAGGGCCCCAAGCGGCGGGGAGCCTCTTCTTCCACCGGCTGCCTAAACACAGACACACTGGATGAGAACCAGAGACGGCGATCCCTTTTACCTTCCTCCCTGCTCCCTAACACTGCTGGCTGGGCTGCAGCCAGCTAACACAAACACTGCTTTCACCTCATCCAGATAAAGCTCATCAGTGATCATTGAGCGGAATGTCTGCTTTCATGGTGTTGCCTGGTCTAGGTGCGTTGGTAGGCAGATTCACAACACTTTGGTGCTACACTGTGTACATAATTCCTCATCACAGCTGTTTGACAACACTGCTGAGAGCAGATACAGAGGAATTACTGTCATAATATTGGTTTTTATGCATCTAACAGCATGATGACATGAAACAATATTTTTTTAATCAGCAATTCTGTGTCTTCTTTTGATCTTATAGTGATTTATTTTGCTTGAAAGGAGCCAACCATGTTGCAACAGAGTGTAAGTGTCACCTGGATGTATGTTTCAGCTCAGTTGCAGTTGCATCTGAAATTCATTGTTGATTTTTGTGATTGCTCCATCAAATATCGGCTATAACCGAAACTGCATTTCCTGAGCTGATGAGATAAGGTTACTGAATCACCGGTGCTGAGCTCATCACCGACATATACACACACACACAAGCACACACATACACAATCCCCTTGTTTAGCTGAAGAAAGCTTTTTTTTCTCCATCCCCCATTGGCTTTTATATACATTTCAGCTGGGCAGCTACATTATTTTTTTTTTAGGGGGGTTATTTTGCCTTTATCCCTAATTAAGCTGTTTAAACTCAGATTAAATTGTTCAATATTTTATATTTTAGCATTTTTCTCTTTGTTGTTACATTTTTATTGTTAATTAATAGGAACACGGGCAATAAAAAAATGTCTAATTGACTATACAGAAAAGCCGGCGTGCATGTTAAAATGTAGGTAACAAAAACAAAACATGGGTTTCTAGACAAACACTGTAAAATATATCTTATAATTTCACATGGTCAAATTCTATTTCCTTAAATCCTATCACCTACAATACACACTTGTCTTTTTCCAGGCTGTATTTCTATAAGAATAACACACAGCAGTGGATCATCTAAAATCTGCATCAGTTATTTGTGTCCAGTCTGGCTGCTGTGGGAAGAAGAGAAGAATAAAAACAGCCTGTGCTGCCAGTGTGGAATTCAGGTTAGTCCCAGAGGACATCACACCTGTCAAGAAAAGCAGGATGCAATAACACCCTCCATCCCAAAAAATAGATCTGAGGAAACATTATCTAATATAATGAAAAATAGATCTAAAAGGAACTGACAAAGCAGATAAAATTGGAAAACAAGCTTGGAGTAATAGCTTTTATTCTGCTTTGATAGGCCTCTTGTATTTAGTAAGCAAAAAATAAATAATTAAAAAAGAAAAAAAGGGGGGGACAGATTTAAAAAAAGTAGGTTATAGAGCCTGAATGTGATTTTTTAAAACAAAACAGAAGTTGAATTTTAAAGCTGTTAATATTAACTTAATGTGGCCCCTCAGTGTGACAGACTGGCTCGGGGATGGTGGAGTCAAACTGGTTGCAAACAGCCTGAGGAAGTACCTCCTTTTCATTTTTTTCCCCTCTTCCTTTCTCCACCGGGAGACCGCCCATATGTGCGTTTAATCCACATTTGCTAGCAACTCCTATCTTCCTCCTATTTTACCATCACTGTCCTGCTCCCAAACTGCCTTTTTCCTTCCCCTCACATGCTTTTTCACTGCAGTCGTCCGACGGCTTCCTCCAGCCTCTCTCTCCTTTCTCTCTCTCTCTTTTTTCCTCCTATTTATGAAAACGTCACTTCAAGTCCCTCCCTGTTTGAATCTCATTAGTTTCTTGTGTGTTTCTCCCTGTCAATAATCCTGAATCCAGACTCTCTCTATTTCCATCCCTCTCTATCTGTCAATCAGCGCCGCCTTTGAACTGAAAACCACTCCGACCAACTTCAACTCACTCAATCCGAGCGGCTCGGCTCCTTCTCCGGCTTCCTTTTTCTGCCAAGATTCCCTTCTTTTTTAGTTTTGTACAGACCGCCAGAGCTTTTGGAAATCGCCAATACAGAACCCCCCAAAAAACTTAAACTCGGACTTTCTAGATCACCGAGATCAAGGGTTTAAAACTTCGTGTTTTTGCCCCCCTGCACAAAAAAAGAAAAAAGAAAAAAGAAAAATTGCTCGGGAAAAATGCCGCAGCTCAACGGCGGTGGAGGGGACGATCTGGGTGCAAACGATGAAATGATTTCCTTCAAAGACGAAGGAGAGCAGGAAGAGAAAATTTCGGAGAACTCCTCGGCAGAAAGGGATTTAGCCGATGTCAAATCTTCTCTTGTAAACGAGTCGGAAACGAATCAAAACAGCTCGTCGGATTCAGAGGTAAGTTGCAGACTTTTGGAAAAAAAAAAAGAATCGGGGGGGATCGATCGTCCCCGGCGCTGGTTTTAAGTTTTTCCTTTCCTTTTAGGGGGGGCCTGCGATTATGTGACATGTTTAAACACTTGGTAGACTTGCACAGAAAGTTGAACTATCCACCGTCACCGTGTTAACTTTAACGCAATCCCTGTGTTTTCATTGCATTTCAAGGCGGAAAGACGGCCTCCGCCTAGATCTGAAACTTTCAGAGACAAAACAAGAGAAAGTTTAGAGGAGGGTGAGTTTCTGCTTTATTCTTCCACTCTTCTTTTTTTAAAAATATTTTTGTTGTGTTGTGTGCACCGTGACATTACATGTGCCTGACGGAGGGGGGGTCTCCTCCGCTTTATTACTCTAATGCATTATTTTTCTGTGGAGAGAAAGGGGGGAAAATAAGAGTTTTCCAAGGCCACTTTATAAAAAAAAGTTTTCTTCTTTTTTCCCCCCCCGCCATGTTAGCTGCGAAAAGGCAAGATGGAGGGCTGTTCAAGAGCCCACCGTACCCGGGCTATCCATTTATAATGATCCCCGATCTCACAAGCCCCTACCTTCCCAATGGATCACTTTCTCCAACAGCACGCACAGTAAGTTCATTTATTTACAACTGTATGTGCACACACACACACACACACACACACACACTGCCGAGCACACAACGGAGGCAGTGAGTGTTGTCACCCAGAAAGTGCAGCCGATAAAAATGTAGAGCCAAGTTTTTGCAACTCCTCATGAAGTGTACAGTACAATGGCATGCATGTCCGCCTGCAGCTGCCAGTGTGTGTGTGTGTGTGTGTG